CAAGACTACAGCTAGTTTATTAGTTGTTTTTACAAGACTACCTCTAGCTTATTAGTTGTTTTTACATTCTTACATCTTCTGGCATAGTGACACAGGCTAGTCCATACTCATGTGCTGCAGGAGAAACACCTTGATATGCTGAGGGAAGCATAGCCAGTCTTGTAGGGTCTGTCACTTCTCTCTGAAGATTTAATTCTTTGTTTCATTTGAGTTAACTTTACATATTTGAATAAAATAAAAGGAAAATCACGTATAATAAATAAATCAAACACATCAGGTTAACATAGAAATTTCTAGTTTCAATAGCCAATGAAAATAATTGTTTCCTATTGTTTCATTTACATTTTACCTACTTACTTTTTTCTGATGGCCCTTTGTAACACTAAAAATATATTTTTTTTTTCTGTTTCCTGTATCACCCATTCTGACTTGGACAATTAGCTTTCCATGCTTTTGTTTTTTGAATCACAACTAAACAATAATACCAGTGTATTATAAGCTATTTACTTAAAACAAAGTTTTTAAATATTACAATCAGCCTATTCAAACAATGAATCTATATAAAAAATTTTAAAAATCACTCATGAGCATTACTGTTCTCCATTACAAGTTAATTCTTAGTCATTTTAATTTCTTTTTGTAAATACTCCTATTAATTTATTGATTTAAAAGTTCAATTTATCAGTGAGGGAAAAAACCACTTACGTTTCCAAAGTCTATATAAAAGACATTAACGGTGTTTCCAGCCACTTTCTCTACACGAGCTCTATACCACTCATCGTCCACAAACATGGAAGCACACAGAACACCTTTCTTGGGTGTAAAAGAACCAGGAAGGGGAGGGTTAGAAGCCAACTCTTCTCGCAGCTTAGCCATCATTTCTTCGAGTCGTGGACCTACAGTGTCCAACGTTTTGTATTCATACACAAGGTAAGCACTTAAGTAAACACTATCCTTATTTGTATGTACATACTTCAGAACTAATTAAGAAAAAGAACCTCATCAACACAACTGAAGTAGTATTGAAAATGACCACTAAGACATATGCAGTGGAAACTGTTAACATTATACAGAATCCTACACTATTACAGAACATGTATTCCTATACAAAAAGTTACACACATTTAATTTGAAGCACGCTTACTAGTAACTTAGTGTCTTCAAAATACACTAAGTTCATAGTATCATTCATTCCAAATATTTTCAGCATTCACATCTACATAAGTTGTTGTTTAACTTTAAAATTTCACTATCATGAACAAAGTTACAATAAATAAGAACTTTTAATAAAGACAAACTTGCCTTCATCCACATGTTGTGCATAAAAAGTCAGATTTGGTCGGACTTCAGTGATGATGATAGATTTGTAGTTGATCTTCCTCTCAACGTTATCTTCCTTTTTCTCCTCCTCCTCTTTTGTTTCTTCAAATCCTGTCCAAATCTTATGAAAATAAACCAAGCTTTTATACAAATTCTTTAAGACTTACTTTAATCACACCAAATAATTAAAACCCCTTAAAGGGCATAAAATTACACAAAAATCAAACAGTGACTTTATAGGTGATTTATAAAAAACATCTAAGGTACAGCTTTGTTCATCTTAGAAGCAAAAAAAAAAGTTGATTTTTGGACTAAAGTACAATAAACTATCTTGCCTTCTTACAACTATATGTCTCAAATTTCAGACCATAATTCTCAACAAGTGTGAAACAATCCAACAAGACACTTTTCACCTTCTAACAGAGACTATATTAAAGAGTTTACATAGAGAGATGATACAGCCCATTGTGGTTTTCACAGTACAGTGGTTTCTGACAAATTATCAAGCATCTGCAATACACTACAGATTCAAGATATTTTCAGAGAACAAAATGAACCCAAACATTAAGTACATAGATATAAACACTATCTTGAATCGTACAAATTCAAGAAGATAGTTACAATTACAATGAAATCACATTTTAAGTCTGAAAAGCCTAGTGCAGTATCCCACAAACATAGATTACCTAATTCAATTACACAGGCCTGCAATGGTTTTATTGTCTTGAAATTTTTACATATTCTACAGTAATTCCTGTATGCTGAATCTGAAAATATTCATTTTTCTCCATCACGTACAGATTTTTATGAAAAATATCATATGTACTTTTCTTCATCTGAAAAATCTCAAATTTCTTTTGCATAATCTCTTAAACCTCCTAAATAAATTTCAAACCTTTTTTTAGTAAAACTTTATATTTTAATCTGTTATGTTATAAATCACATAGGGAACATGTACTTCATGTTATCCTATTGAATTACATAATGCACAGGCTGTTCTTGAGAGGTGTGTACCACGTGAAAATTTTTCTTCATTTTACCTAATCTAACCTAAAAAAATTTATAATTTTTACCTTTTAGTTACTTTTACAACAAATACAGAATACACATGAAAAACAAGAAATAAAGTACTTACCTGTGTCGTTGTCTTTTTTTGCTGTCAACTGTCGATGATGCTTAACACTACTTTTTATACTAATGGTACTACTAAACTAAATTTTTTACTTAATTAAATAATGCACCAAAGAACACAGAATAATAACATGCAAAAAAATCAGACAATGTCTCATAACTATCACAATTTTTCTGGCTTTATAACTATGCAACAAGAACCATTAAAATTCAGCTAAGCACATCAATATGTTTCCCATGTGAATAAAGTTTGAACTGGAAGTGGAATAGACAATTCTCTGTATCGAAAATAACAATATAATACGTCATTTGATAGATTAAAACCTTGGCTGTCCATTGGTAATAAATAATATAGTATTAAACATCAGAGAGAACTACTGGCAATTTCTGAAAGAGAAGATGTGACAGTTGGGCATGGCAAGAGGAGTCTGATTTTATATATTATTGCTCTATAACTAAATAAAATTGAAAGCTATGAAAATTATGCTAAGCCTGAGCAAAGAAAACATTATAAAGAGTGATTTACATTACATTTAGTACTTCTCGGAGGGATGGTAAATAAATTAGAGAAGATAGGATACCTAGAGAAAAAATGTTTCTCATACTAGAGGAAATTCAGGTTATTTTTCTAAATACTGCCTTATAAAATTAAGAACTTAAACTTGTATATACTATTAAGATTATTAGCTATGTTTTTATACTATATTTATTTGTATGTATGTATCTTCACGAAATTTTGCAACCTGTCAGAAAACATTACCAGTCATTTGTATACAAAAAATCAGAATTTTTAATGAAGGATTTTTACTAAAAATTTCTCTGTGAATATATGAAGTCAATGTGTTGACTTCTCCGAGTGCAAAGTGATTTTCATGTTAAGATTAAAAATACTTTACTTTATCTAAAAATTGTCAAACTTCATTTGTGTTAATCTCTAAAACCTCCTTAATAAATATCTAACATTCTCTTTTCAGTAAAACTTTATATTTTATCTACCCTAAATTTATATGCCTTTGGTCAATTTGACTGACCTCCTAACCACCACAAAAAACACAAAATAAGTCTAAATCACCCCCTTTTTTTTCTCTCAAGAATGACTGCAAATTTATCAGAAACCTACAGTTGTTTATCCCAAGTAACTTAAAGCTCAAAACAGTAAACACCTGTTTCTATTTAAATTTAATTATTTTATTACTCTTTGAATTATGTCTAACTAATAATCCTGCTACACAAGTTGTAACTCACTCAGCAAATATGAAACTCATGTTACCATATTGGTTACAACGCACAAGCTGCTTGCAAGCATACCTTGTGAAAAAAATTGTTTTCTTCATTTTCTTATCTAATCTAACTTAATGTTTCTAATTTTTAAATTTTTGTTACTTTTATAATAATAAATAAAGAATACACACAAAAAGCAATTCAACAGTCAATGATACTTAAGCTTAGTTTTTTCATACTAACAGTACTACTATACTAAATGATTTATTTAATTAAATACTGCATCTAAGAACATAGAATAATAACATGCAAAAAGCAAACATCATATAATCATAAATTTCTCTGACTTTCTAACTATGTGATAACAGTCTTTAAAAAATCAGCTAAGCTAGTTGATGTAATTCCCATGAGAATAAATTTGAAACTGAATGGGGTAGCAGACAACGACCTGCACAAAAAACAACGTAATATAATACATTCTTTGATAGATTAAAACTTTGTATTTATAAGTAATATAATATAAAATGTCGGAGAAAACGATTAGCAATTTGTGAAAGATGGGAATGGCAAGTGGGCCTGATTTTCTAATTTATGGCTCCATAGACAAATAAGATTGAAGGCCATAAAAATTATGCTTTGCCTGAGTAATATCTATATTATATTTACTAATTTGCATTAAATTACATACATTTCAGAGGGGTGGTAAATAAGTTAGAGAAGATGGAAGACCTAGAGAACAATTGTTGCAATTCTCATACTAGGAAAGATTGAAGATTTGTAAAGTATTTCATTATAAAATTTAGTATAAATTTGTATAATTTTAAGATTTGGTTTATCAACTAATTTTTGATGTCAAATTTATTTGTATACAATGATAATAAAGTAATTAAATTAAATTTTGAATGTAACTCTACAAAACTTCTCATATGTGCACTTTGACCTGCCCATGGCAAGCGTTATTTATTGTTATAAAAGTAAGTAAAATGTAAAAATTAAAAACTTAACTTAGATAAATAAATATAATGAAAACATAATAAAAACAATGTATACTTGTGAGTAGCTGGTGCATTATGTCATTCAATATGGTAATTTCTCCACCATTCATAGAAATTAGTGCTCACTTCCAAGTAGGCATGATATAGAAACAGGATCATACAAGTATGAACGTTACTGAACAATCCTCTATGATCTTACTGTAGTAAGTTTTAAACCAGATGTTACTAACCACATGCAAAAGTTTTGAATAAAATTTAACAGAATACTCAAAAATAAATAAATATATAATTTCAGTTATGGAAATACAAAATTAGCAGTTATTTCTGCCTTCACACCAATGTTACTTAAGGATCCTCTTCAACTGACCAGTTAGTGAAATGAACCACCTATACACAAGAAACACTCTCAAATGTTTAACCAACAGGATAAATACTGTGAACTAGAGAATAATAAGATCCTTTTTTAAACAGTGTTCTTTTAAATAATGTTAAATGTATAGAAACAGTTTATAAACTATGTTGAAACAACTACAAACTTTTTTCATGAATCTGCTCCTGGGTTGTTTTATTTATCCTGATTCTGAAAAACTTTCCGGAACCACTTGTTACAGTGATGATACTTACCTTACCTCCTCTTGCTTTGGCAGCATCTTCAGCTATCTTTAGTGCATTGTAATGCTGACTGCGCTCAGCAGTAAAGTGGACAGAGGCTAGTCCTTCTTGAACTAATGCCACAGACAAATTAGTATTATCAATCCACAACCACCCAATAAAGTTTCCAGCTTTGTCCATGGTTTCAACTTCAATTTCAACCTTAAACATAGAACACAAAATAATTTCTGTATTAGTACATACCTTTACTAAATAAACCAACAGAATTATAAAACATCTTATTAATTTTTCTTCTATCTATAAAAGTTCTCTCATTTTGTGAACATAAAGAGTGTAATATGTTCCATTACTATATAGGTTCTTTTTTCTGCAGGGATCTTCTATAACTTTGTACCTTCTGACTTTTTATTCAGAAAGATCAAGGACGAACTTCTCCATTTGTAAAACAGTGTATTATATTTAAATCCCTGTTAAATATTAAACTATAATATTTTGCCTCACATTGAGGGAATATACAAACCAATCAATGATTTTACAGATGATTTTCTGAAAGACATTTTAGACAAACTGTTGTTCATCTCAAAAGTGAAAAGGGACTTTGTTCATCTGAGAAATTTGGAAATTGTTCTCAAACTCTTGGTAGTCCATTAGGGCAAGATGAAGAACTTCGTACTTATTTGAAACTTCATACTTAAAAGACTTCAAAGGTTATATTACATTTGTGTAATAAACCATATACACAAGAATATGTTTTACTGTAAAAGAAGTATTTAACTGCAAATATTAAGTTTAGATACACACATAAAAAATGTTGAACATCCACACACTTAAAAAAAAACTATTGTTACATGTAAATTAATGAAATTTATTGCAGAGTAGTGCTACAATCAAATTAAACCCAGCTCACTTCTAAATTAGTCCAAGCTAACAATACAATTCTGTACACTTAGTTATTTATAAATTAAAAGAATTTTACATATATAAAGCAAAGAAAATGTCTACAGTAAGGCTCATGTGAGAAAGTTTTCCACACAATAATATATATATACCACATAATGTTTGTGGTAAAAACATCAACTTAATCATCCCACGACAAATTTAACTTCTATATTTCTAAACCTTAGTAATAGTTTAGAGCAATTCAAGTCACGCCTCATATACAAATACGTGGAAAGTAGTGAATTGTAAGAGATCACAACTGTTGTGTGTGTTGCAAAGCACAGAACTATATCCCTCTATATGTTGTCCACCAGCTGCATAGTACTAATGTAAGTCTATGTCAACAAACAAAACATTAATGATGCTGCAGTTCATCACTTTCCAACTACTCCCAATATTAAGCATGACTTCCTAATAACCCTGTAAGTAACTGTATAACATTCTACAGAGACGTTAATGTGACTATCATTTAAAGTTGGTAATTACCTAATTAACTGGATAAAAAAAAAAAAGTCAAGAAATAAACCAAAACAATGTTCTTATAAAACTGATGAAATTTCTATGAAATGGAATTTAACAACTGTGAACAATACAAAATTAATAAACTGATTCTTACAACTGAAATTAATATGCACCAAATATATATTTGTGAAGGGATGCACGTGTTTAACTACAATGATAACAGAATTAATTTTTTAACTTTCCCAACTTCATAAACCTAAAGATATAAATAACCCTACGAGCATGAGTAGGGGGGGGGGGTCAAAGTATGCATGCTTTGAACTAGTAGAGTCCATTGAACACATTAATCATTTAGTGTCAGAGTTGAAAATTTCATTGTACCCTGTACTGCTAATTTTTCAACAGTTTGTGTTAAAGAAAATACCAGAAACAATACACAGGAACACTAAAACAAAGATTTAAATATGCATTTAGGAGGTTGTAGAAATTATTGCAAGTACAACTTGCAAACTGTATGAAGGACAAAATAATTTTTGTTCTTAAACTAAATATCACCTTGCTCTCTAACCTGTAAGTGTATGTCAGAATGGCCTCAGTATTTCACAGACATATCTGTAGTACAAACAATTTAGTAACACATCTGATTTGCTGTATACAGCAAGTTTGTACCCTTGACTAAAAGCTTGCCAAATTTTGTGTGGATACAGTTTGTAAATTTGAAATTATAATCAATGTTACTTCTCCAATATGGAGTCAAACCTGTGGATTGAAAATGTGCACATTCAGTTAAACAAATCTTGAATGTCTACTATGTAGGAACATTATTCTTACTTCTCTTTGATGACACAATTCCTTGGTAAATTTGTGAGCTTCTTCTCCCCACGGTTCTCCCTCTATCATGATTCCTCCTGGTGCAGGTCTAGGACCACGTGGACAACTGATACCTACATATCAGATCTTTTTAATACCTAACAATAAAACTAAAATGGATTTTTTTTTGGTATCAAAAATTTTACTCTTTCACAACTATGTCTCTCATATCACTGATGCTTTGCAGAAGTTTTGCTTTATATTAGCTTGCTTTTTTCTTAGTTTTGACAAATTCAAATTATAATTTAAATTAACTTGTTAAAAATATTTACGTAATAACCAAGTTTAAATGGATATTACAATTTCAATTTACCTCCTAATAAGAATGTAATGAGACAATTTTCCCTTGAAACAAAGATCCGTAATCTTGATCCACTAGCCACAAACTCAACCACCCCTTCCATCCTGCCAGCTCGTTGCAAAAAGGGGAAAAATTGTTTAGATTTTGATAAATCCTTTAAAAAAAAAGAAAAATACACTTGTGTAATAAATCACATAAGTATTTAACTGAAAATGAATTTTTTTTAAATATTTCATGATAGATATTGAATTATGAAATATGAACTTTATAATTTTGAAGATTTTAATATTAAAAAAAACAGCCAGACACAAAACCCAATTTTCAGCAGTACAGATTAGAATGTAGACCTCTTAAATATGAGAGTAAAATCAACAAATTTAGAATGTTTTGAAGATAAACTAATCATATTGAAAACAGCAATAAAAAAAAAGGAGCAAGAATTACTATATAAAAAGTATTGTGAAAAATATCAGAGAATCTATAATACTCGAGTGAGTAAGAAACAAACCTACTTAAAACAACCTGGAAAATAAAGTTGGTATGAAGCTTCTTTGAGTATTTTCTAACTCTGATTAGAAAAAATTGAGTGACACTTGTATAAACTTCCTGACTTTCACTATAATGTTAACATAATCTTTAATACAATGAACTTTAAAGGACAACAATTGGAGAAGAAATGATGTAATATGGCTACTTATGGCAACACTAAAAATGACAAGAAATTTTTCTATACAGACTTACTCCAGACAAGTCTACCACACGATGAACTGGTGTTTCCTTTTTGCTATGAAGCCCTTTTCCCGATTTCTGGGCCTTCATCTCTGCAGCCAGAAGTTCATCATAGTGTGTTGATCTCTGATCATCATCTTGTCGATATCGAATCACTGTGGCTAAGCCTTTGCTGATCAGAGCCTCTGCCACATTTCTAAACACAATTTGCAGAAAATGTTATAATCTAAGCAGAACAAAAAGTTTTCTTCGGAAATGGTCAGAGCATATTAGTTATAACAAGGACCCAAATGTAAATACTGAGGTAAAAGGTTTTACATAGTGTAACAAACACATAATATCCACAAATATAACTGTACTGTAAGTTTAAAAAATGTTTTTAGTAAATATAAAGAAGCAAAATTTACCCAAGAACTCAGTATTATTATATGAATTTATCACAAACAGAAAATTCAAAAAAATTACTTACTGTCCTCCAACAGTGACAGTACAGCAAACTTTCTCTGGAAAAGAATTTGATGCTGGTTGAATGTAATCCTTAGATACATTCACTTTCTTTCCAATAAGTTTTTTCCTGAGAAACTCTCGAGCCTCGTACATGTAAGGAATATCATACAAGGGCCTAAATGATCGGCCTTTATTGTCCTTCTGAATTTCATTTTGTTTATCCTCAGAAAGTCTTAAAGAAAAGAAAAAAGTTTTATGGCCTAAGTTAAATTATCAAATACTTTTACAATTTGTGAATATTATACAGTTTTGTTACCTAAAAGGTATAATCATCTCACTTCAACTTTAAACCTACAACACCAAGGTATTAAAAAAAACATAGTAAGAAACAACATTATTGTTGAATTATGAAGTTCTCTTATTATCAGCAATGACAGAATAAACTAGAGACAATACGAAGTACTGATTGCTTTAAAAAAGTGTACAGAGAATCTTGATCCTAATACAAGCATAATCGTATGATGCATATGAAAAGGTACAAGGGAAAACCACCTACTGAACCGCTCATTACAATCTTTCAACAATCAATTTTTTCTTCAAAAGTACAACATGAATCTTGTACCAACAGCTTTATAGAATTTAACAAAATTTAAGTATTTAGTTTTATCAACAGGTAAAAGTGACAATTCAAAACATCAATATATTATATTACTGTTAATTTTATATTTTTACCACATACATTTTATCATTTTCATATTACTTTTCAACTACACTTGTAACTTGTTCCTTTCTCACCAATTTTTCAAATTCCTATACAATAATCTTGAACTACCTGTCAAACTGACACAGTTGCGTTAACATGGGAATTAACAATTATGATGTATTTGTATTATTTAGGTCAGTGTTTCTCAACATTTTCGATACCAGAGACTGGCTTGCTGCCTTCCCAAACTGTTGTGGACTACTAAAATTCAAGTAGAACAAAAAACTATTAAAACTTCATATGAATATTCTTTCAGTTCTTGTTTCCATAAAATCCCACAGACCGACAAGATGGTTGTGAAAGATCAGTGCCGGTCTGTAGACTGAAGTTGAGGAACCCTGATTTAGACGAAGAATGTCAACTACTCTACAAGTTCCACAAATATAGAAACCTACCGTGGAGGCTTTATGCTAGAAAGAAAAACTTTCATCAATGATCCACTGCTGAGTTTTATTACAAGAGAATCAGCATTCACAACCTCTACAACTTTGCCAGAGAACTCTTTGTCCTTGGAGTCAATAGCTGGTCCACTAGGGGTGTAGTCTCTCCATATTCTCAGCCTCGAATCCTTAGCTGACCTGAAATATTCAAATCAAGGGATAAACGTTTATAACTCTTATTTATTACCATAAATTAAATACACTTTTTCCCAACAATGACAGTTCTTGTACAAGAGAGAGATGAAGACAAGCAACAGCAGTTCAAGATAGACCTGGGTAATTAGTGGAATTTTCTAATTGATTTATTACATTCAACTAACTGAATGTAATATCTTATGTCAGATGTGGATCGTTGAAATAACTGAAAATAGTAATAATCGGAAACATTAATTTTGACTGATTACATTACACTAACTGACGTACTTGATGTTCATAGGTAATCAGTTATATTATAGGAGTAAGTGTTCAGCTCTAGTTCAAAAAACATCATCCAAAACTTCTGAGGCAAATACAATTCACAGAAGTCTCCAATCAAAAATAGTGCGAGTTTATAAAACCCCAAAGAGAAATAATTCAATATTCTATTTCAATTTTGATATTTTCAATATATAAATTGCATAAAAACAACTGATTGGAATTAAAATGTTAAAAGTCTACTCATAAATTCTTGCAGGCTTCATAGAATAATAATATATTTCACACATATCCAAATCTGTTCCACTAGCATAACCACAGAAGGGAGATATCCCCCCCCCCACTTACAGAAAAATCGTTCCCGAGATTTACATTAATTTTTCCAGTGCTTATTCTCAATAAAAAATAGTTTAATCTGTGTAATTAAAAGAACAATGTATATTAGTGAGTCCATACATGTACACGTGCTGACTCACTTGAAAACCCAATATTCCTGTTGGCTAATTGTACAGTGGTGCTTTTATGCTTTTACATTCGTATGAGTGCAAAAGTGCACAACTATTAATGTGCACTGTTCAACATGGATGCAAAATTAAGTTTATAACACTAACTTTAAATACATTTACTTCAATAACATAAACAAATATGCTAGGGAACACATTAACCCTCTCTCCCCGGGTACCCTTTACTGCGCATGACACAAGGTTTTAGTGTCCTACATTCAAAATTTTATTAAACTATTTTTTTGTTTATGTTATACCAATTAGAATAACATAAAATCTTAGCTAATAATCCATATTTTAATAGCATACAAGTTTTAAGTTCTTAATTCTACAAGGAAATATATAAAAAAAATCCTGAATTTCCACTAGTGTGACATTTTGTCTTAGCATGTCATCATCCCTATTTTATCCTTCACCCCTCGAAAATGTATGAAATTAAATGTAAAATACTCTATAAAATTGTTATTGCTCAAACAGACAATAATTTTTATAGCCTTTACTTTTGTTTGGTTATGGAGCTATCAAATAGAAAATCAGACCCCTTCTGCCACAATTCATTGATAGTTCTCTCTTAAGTTTCATTATATAGTAGCTATAACCAATAGAAAGTCAAGGTTTTCATCTATCAAATGATGTATTGTATAACATTGTGTTCTGAACACATAATCGTCAATTTCACTAGGAGTAGCAACATCATTCCCATGGGAAAGTTAATGACTAGCCTGAACGAATTTGTAATGGCTCTTGTCGCATAGTTAGAAAGCCAAGAAAATTTTGAGAGGTAAGTGAATTTGTCTACTTTTACATGTTATTAGTCTATATTCTTTGATGCATTATCTAATTAAATAAAAATTGTTAATTGCTTTACTATAATTACTATAAAAAAATCAGGCTTAACTTAGGATAAACGAATGTAGTTTCATGTTACAATTTGAAGTCATTCTAGAAAGAAAAGAAGGTAATTTAGGTTTACTTCGATTTTTTTTTATGGAGGTTGCGTGGTCGGTCGAATTGACCAATCCCCTTTTGAGATAGGGTAGAGAAAATAACATAAACTATAAGGATTTAGTAAATAAAAAACGTTTGAAATTCACATGAACATTTTTTTGCACACAGTGTATTCACAACAAATACTCAATATATTCATGGACAAATCTTTATTTTATTTTATTAAAAATACTTCACTAAGAAATATGATTTTTTTGTATGTGAAAGACGTAATATTAATTGAAAGACTGCCAAGTTTTGTGAAGATATACACAATATATTGAGAGTTATGAGCATTAAATTTATATCAACTTTAAACGAGTACAAAAGGTCATATGACTCGGTCAAATTGACCATTTTATACTTGCTTAGTCATTATAGATTTGATACTAACTTTTGATATAGTGTGCATACCTTCACAACATTTGGCAGAATTTCAGTAAACATTATAAGTCTTTCACGTACAAAAAAATCAAGCTTTATTTAGTGACATATTATTAATAAACTAAAAAAACATTTGCTTGTGATTATATCAATTCTTTTTTTTTACTAGTCTGAGTGCAAAGTGATTTTCATGTTAAGATTAAAAATACTTTTCTTCATCTCAAAAATTTCAGATTTCTTTTGCATAATATCTAAAACCTCCTAAATACATTTCAAATGTTTTTTTTCAGTAAAACTTTATATTTTATCTGTAATTTTCTCTACTCTAACCCTATATAAGGTTGATCAATTTGACCGACCTCATAACCACCCAAAAAATTTAAATAAATCTAAATTGCCCTTTTTTCTTTCTAGAATAACTTCAAATTGTAACATAAAACTACATTTGTTTATCCTAATTAGTTTTAAACTCGTAACAGTATACGTTTATTTATACGTAAATTTTATTGTCCTTTGGACTGTGTCTTACTACCGTTAACACCATTATAAGTTGCAAGTCACTTGGGGAACGTGGAACTCATGTTACACTATCAAATTACATTACCCACGAACTATTCTGAGCTGTTCGCGTGCATGCCTCATTTTACCTAATCTACCTTTAAATAACCTAAAGAGATTCATATTTTTACATTTTAGTTACTTTTATAATAATAAATAAAGAATACACATGAAAAACAAGAATTAAAGTACTTACCTGGGTCTTCTTTTTTTTTGCTTTCAACTGTCAATGATACTTAACCCAACTTGTTTTTTTTCTTATACTAATGGTGAAAATGCACTAAATAATTTATATTTTATTAAATAACGCCCCAAAGAACATGCAAAAAGCAAACAATGTCCCATAACTACCACATTTTTCTGGCTTTCTAACTATACAACAAGAGCAGTTACAAATTCATCCAAGCTAGTCAATATGTTTACCGTGGGAATGAAGCTTGTACTAAAAGAGAAATTGACAATTCACTGTTCAGAAAACACAGTAATATATGCTATTTGATAGGTGAAAACCTTGACTTTCTACTGGTTATAAATAATATTTTATTAGACGTAAGAGAGAACTATTAACAAATTCTGAAAGAGGGGATGTGACAGGTGGGTGTGGCAAGAGGGGTTTGATTTTCTATTTGATGGCTCTGTAACCACACAAGATTGAAGGCTATAAAAATTATATTTTGTCTGAGCTATAATAATTTTATAGTGAGTAATTTACATTAAATTTTGTACTTATTTGAGGGGTGGTGAATAAATTAAAGAGGAGGTGCCTAGAGAAAAGAAATGTCACATTTCTCACACTAGGGGAAATTCAGGATCCTTTTTAAAATATTGCCTTATAAAATTAAGTACTTAAAACTTATATACTATTAAAATATGGATCAGCTACAATTTTATGCTATACTAATTGGTATAACAAACAAAAAGTAGTTTAATTAAATTTTTAATGTAAGTCACTAAAAACCTACATGACATGTGTGTGTGTGTGTGTGTGTGTGTGTGTGTGCGTGGGGGGAGGGGGAGGATTCCATGCCATCTATATCAATTTTATTTAATTCTTTTGCTAAACAATGTTTGAGTAGTCAAATAATTTTAGTACATAGAATAATGTTAAAAACTGTGTCTTGCCCAAAGGTACATTATTTATACAATACATAAACAGTTTTAAATTTATAGAATTATAAGGGAACCAATCACTTTACTAATTGTGAAACCATAATCTAAAAAATTTATGTAGATTTTAATGCAAGAACTTTTAAAAGTGAAGTTTATAACTCAACCTTTCTGCTGCTCGTAGCTTATCAGGCCCTCCTGTCACAACTGTTATACTCCAGTCAACACAGCGAGCAAACCCTTCTTTGAGCAATAATTCTGCAATATTCCCATTCTGTAAAATGGAGAAAAAAAAACCAAAACTCATATAGCATATTTTTTGTAAACTTTGATACCTCAACATGACTTCAATGGTGTCCACTGATAGATATACATTTTGATATGTTATTCTGTTAGATCATAATAGCATCAGCTATAACGTGTTAACAAAATTTAGGTTTCATCTAATTTATATAATGAAACTACCTTATACCGTATACACCCATTCATAGTTGGATGGCTGAACACCCAAAGACATTTATATACTCAAATATTACCATAATCAAAATAAATGTTCAACAAAACAAATATTTACAGCTAAAGTATTGCATAAAAGACAGGATTGACCAAGTTTGAGAGCAGAAAGCTCCTGAAAATTCCACATACAACTAATGCCATGTAGCAACCTAACATCTTCCAAATTTGACATGAATATTGATTGGTTAAAACACTGATCTGCAATATTCCTTTAACCAATGAAAATGTGTGTTTCTACATAATGTGGTGTTGTCTTGTAGAAATTCAGCCACTACAAAAAGTAAATGCACCATGGCACCAACACAGAAAAATAACAGCAAATAAGAGCTTATATTACATAAATTTTGTTCTACATTTAATTTATTCAACACATTATTAATAAGATCAAAGTTTAGGCCAATCATAAATAAATTCAGTTGTCCAAAGAAAATTTTAACTTGTTCTTGGACATTCAGACAACAATTCGGATATACAAATCAGCCAAACCACATGACAACCATAGCAGATAAAGGTGTGGTGGAACACAATGTATCAGAACTACATTTTGACACTGTTTGGCATTTTGTAAGTAATGTGATGCCATTAAAAACTGATTGCTTTCAGGAAGGGCATTACATGCCCTTTCCAATACACAATATTCATACACTTTGTTCATAAAGATAAGGTCAGACTGAGGATTTAGAAGTTCCAAGACATAGATATCCCTTGTACTTAATGTTATTGGAAAACACTGAATATGAATCAACTTGGGGGATCAGCACCATCCACAAAAAGACCTGAAACAAGTTGTACCCCAGCCATGGTTGGCAATGTAACATATGAGAATTCATGAACACAAAGGTCATTGACACAAGTCATTCCTGTGTCCCCGTATGCAACATAATTAAGATGGGTCTCCACCTAGAAACCAGACCAATAGGTTGTGTGATTCACAAAGAAAAGACTGTCAGTCTCTTGTACAACTGTCAAATACTTCAAGCAGCTGGAGTATAATATGGGTTGCCAGACATGGAACTTATAGATTTTTGTGTGTTGAGACTGTTGAAATGGGTATTAAAAAACCATCACCTTCATATACTAGATGGATTATGGAAAGCCTGCAGAAAAGAATGACATACTTTAGACATGATAGCTTTATAACAAAGCCTCTTATTATAGAAACTCTGCTGTAGTGCTATTATCAAGATAAATGGTTGTTAGAGCATGACCAGACATAGCAACATAGATTGTAATGATACAATGAGGCTCCAAAATCATTTTAATACAATGTATTCAACCCCTCTGCTGTACAAAAAAAAAGAGTGGGGCACAATTATTTAACACACCCTGCCTGGTTAACTGCAACATTTTTCTGTACAATCAGAAAATCCCAAAATTTTTGTTTATTAAAATGAAAAACTTTATTTTGTTAGACAGTAATCATACAATATAAAGATGTTTATATTTACAATAATTCTCTATGTGGCAAAAAACATTTTACCATAAGACAAGCTACCTAATTCTATGAATAAATTTAAACAAATCTCTATTGTATTCTTTTCTAACTTACTGGATGTAGAATGCTTCCTAAAAAGTTCTGATTGGAAACAGATTCAAGGATCACCTCCACCTCTCGTTGAAGAAGACGACATTCAGTAAAAAACTTAGCTTCATCAGCAAAAGATTCTGCAACTTGTGACTGTCCATCTTCTCCCATTTTGAACGTAGGGCACTACAAAAATGAAATACAAAATAAAACATTAGTTATTCTAAATCTTACCAGATGTTGTACACTTTTTATTTTTGTGTTTAGTCTGCAAACAATTTCTTCAGAAATTTGGAAATAAAATATACACCTAGAAAAGCATGAATCCACAGAAATAATATTCTTTGTATGCAACTAACTAAAAGGTTCCCAGACAAAGAACAAAACACATCTTGACTAGTCAGTTAATGGGCTTTCCTACTGTTAATGTTGAAGCTATTTATGTTCTTCCAAAATTCAAGTTGCAAAAATGACAAAGAAACATACTGTAGAATGTTAAAAACATGTTTAATAGCAACCATTCATAAATATTAATTTTTTTAAACAGATTTGTTTTTCTTCCTTGATTTATCACTTTATGAACTGAGGAGCTTGACCAATATACCATTTCATCAACATTAGCCAGTATTTTAGTTCTTGGTAAAGTAAATATGGCTGATATTCTTTATACATTTCACTTTGAAAAACTGGGAGAAAAAAAAATTCTCATTTGTGCACATATCAGGACTCTATAAGCTGAAGTGAAACTTGGCTTTTGCAGGATAAAATTTGTAGTAAATTGTAGTAAATGAACTGATACAGGAGCTTCCATGATATTCCACTGCCAGAACTCAAATGAAAATCAAAATAAGTTGAAAAGAGCAACAAACAGGTTAAGCTACCACACTCTTTGTAATTTTGATTTAATCAAAAACATGGGACTAAGAGCATTCTTTTGTCAGTAAATCATTTTGAGTTTTCCAAAAATATCCATAACAATGGATATGTTCCATTATTTGATTAGAACCATTCATAAAATGCCTTGTAAGAAGACTGTTGAGTAAGTTAAGAAAAATTTACAATGTTATCAATATTGGTAGCATTGTATCAGGAAAATTAGTACTGGAATACCTCTAAAGATTTCGATGTAATACAAAACTTGTAACTGTGGCTATGCAAAATTAGCGCTCTGCTTCCTGTCAGGTAAAAAAAAAAAAATAATATATACACTGATGTTTAAAGTGAAACAAACCACACATTAGATTTATTAAATTTGACCAATTTATTCTTCAAACTAAATAGAAAAAAAAAACTCAATATTGCAGATATAAGTTAACAAACAATAATAAAGAATTACAAAATACAGTACCTATAAGAATACATACAAACAAATAAAAGTAAACATACTAAGATATAAAATGCAAATGCTGGGAATGTTATGTGGAGAATAAATCAAAAACACATGAGCAAAATCTATATTTACTGAAGTGTAGTGAAGATTGCCAATTGGCCAGCTTATCATTTGTGCTCAAACTGCCAACCAAGTTAACAAAAAAAAAAGATTCATAATCATATTGTTACAAAGACCTCTCTCATATTGTTGCATGCATTAACAGTACTGTATATCTGATGGTGTTTTCCATATTGTTACAAAGACCTCTCTCGTATTGTTGCATGCATTAACAGTACTGTATATCTGATGGTGTTTTCCATATTGTTACAAAAGTACCTACTCTCATATTGTTGCATGCATTAACAGTACTGTATATCTGATGGTGTTTTCCATATTGTTACAAAGTCCTCTCTCATATTGTTGCATGCATTAACAGTACTGTATATCTGATGATGTCTTCCATACAACTGCATTCTACTATTTTTAAACTTTTTCTCAGTTTATTGCTGAAATTCTACCCCAAAAATTTTTTCAATGCAGTTCAGTTTGTAATTCTCTTGTATGATAACACACATTCATGCACAATTGATATTTAAGACAATAATTGTACTGAATAATTTTATTTGTTGTATATTTGATGCTGTTAACATGCATTAGTCAAACAAGGTATGAAGATTGCAAGTAAAATATGAACCAGCTTTTAAAAATTTTATTTATTTTAGATCTGAAAGAAAAACTAACAAGAACAAATAGACAAAATAACATTAACAACATATAATACCAATTGTGTTTCAAAAATGATAGAATGTTTACGAAATATTTATTAATAGGACCCCAAACATCACTCAAAATATCCCAGCCTGCACTGAATACAGCATAAAACTAATCAGGTACGAGCTGGTGGGTTGTCTTTAATAACAAATATTTGACTATTTCGTGCATGTAATTTTGAGTTATGGTATATTATACTGTTGTCATTTGGACTTACATCTCTCTCCTCTCTCTTCTATAGCAAATTTTAAGCCATAACTGGTGAGCCTTAGCTAGAAACACTGTTAATTATTTTTGAATTGTTTATGCTTAAGACATAATTCTGAAAGTTCTGAAATGAAGTAACTTAAATATACAAAGACCTATTTAAATGTATTGTCTGATGTTATTGGAAGTTTTGGATTTTTTCAGAAGCTTTATCCTATGTAATTATTTATGATTTTTACATTTTCACCTAAATGATATTTAATCTTATGTTATACTAAAAATATCATTCCAACAACAGTCATGAGACACCTATTCACTTGTAGATAAAAATACATAGTTCGAAGCTTATTTCTGTCATGTGAGGAAGAGATATACTACTTTACGAGTCTCATTTTCTATAAATTAATTTTTTGTGAAACTGAAATAAACACAGTGGTACAGTGTGACATCAATAAAAATGGGGAGAGAGAGTATCTGGGAGCAAAGGGTAGACTTTCAAGGGCTTTTCCAGGACCTCCTGATATAAATCACAGATTTTCTGGGATTTCCAATACTGAAAAATATGTTTCTAAAATACCATGGCTTTCCAAGATTTTCATGACGTGTGCAAACCCTGTATTAGATGCTCAAATGTGACAACATTTAAAGTACCCTTCTAGTTCAATAGCAATAACCAGTTAAACTTTAGAAGCATTTTCTACATTCTTATTTTAATATAGAATTTTTCAGTTTATTCTAGGTATATGCAGTTTTCTTTAAGTTAATTTCATTTTAGCTATCTTTTTTTGTCATTCCTTGAAGATAGCAGTGTGATCAATTCAAAACTCCAGGAAAAGTGAAGTACATACATTGTTTCTTTGTGTTGTATCATTAAAGATTGTTTCATTATGTATCACATTTTGTGCCCAATCCATTTATTTTTTAACACAGATTTGATTAGTTTTAGCACAACTCAGTATTACTTTGTAACAAATTTTGCCAAGCCTCTTGTTATATAGAGGACCTAATTAATCTAGTCTTTGGGGAAATTGGTTTTAACTAACAATACCACATAGCTACAATATGTAAAAAAAAAACATGTTCAATTACGTTCGTAATGAAAGTTTTCAGTATTAGTTGGAAACTTAACATTCAATTTGAAAGAATGCACTGAAAATCATATTATAGACTGTGTACATTCATGGTGACAGACTGAATGTAGACAATGGTTGATGGACTATTGATTTATTAGCCTTCCTTAGTAGACACGTTTGAGAAATTACATTTGAAAATCAGGAAATAATGATACTTTTGACAATAGGCCTCCAAAAAAAAAAAAAAGTACAAAAGGCTTCTCTCGTTATTCAGCCATCCTATATAAAAGCAAAAAACTCAAGACATGTATACACACATATTTTCCGTTATCTACAACCATTTGTAAGTGTGTAATGAAAGTTCTCACTTTAAGTAAGAAAGCACCACACAGCTACAATACATAAAAATATACACAAGGGGTGAGAAAAAAAGTTATTTACAGCCTAAATGAATCTAGCAAACTGTAGTTGGTAAGAAAGAAAAAAAATATGAAATAAATTAAGTATTATAGTTTGAAATAGCCAACCTCATCTCTATTGTGAAAAGTTGTAGTCAACACTTATTACAGTCTAAATCTACTTCATTAAACAGTTGCACAAGTTGTTTTGTGCTTAAGAACAAACAAACAAACTTCTTAATTTGCCCTAACAAGTGATTTAGTAATGTGTTTACAACATGTTCTACATATTTTCCACTATAAAGTTATTTGGTGATAAAGGAATATTACTGCTTTGCTACACTTGGAAGTATTTATAGCTCAGTTTATTTGCATAATATACTAAGTTTAAAAATCAAGATCTACTGGTATGAAGCAATTTAATTTTTCTTTTGTTAATGTCTTTTAATAATAATAGTTTATTGATATTTTTTTGAAGATCCATTGAACCCACACAACATGGAAAGAGTTGGGACCTAAATTATTTTCAGATAGTACTATATGAAACTAGAGTTCTGGTTTCATATGTTATTTAATAAAATAATTCAATATTTTTTATACCTAAAAAGTACGATAAAAAATTTCAATAATGCACAAGACAGCTTTTGAATTATTTAATTATGGATTTAATGTCAAAATAAAAACTCGGAGCATTCTGCATTCCAAAATTTATAACGAGAGCCTAACTTTCTAAAATAAGCATATTCCAGAAATAATAATAACAAAAACGACTCACTCTAATTCCAGATATCATAACAGTCAATTGATAGTAGTCTGGCAGTAGAAGAACTCGAAGTGTACTTCCATCCCGAACGTGTTCAATAATAGCATTCACAGGTTTCTGATGGAGGGAATCAATGAAGTTCCGGGGGTTCTCTACTGTGTACTTTAAGTCTCTCACATGATTGTGAGATGGATCAGTACTCCATTTTCCTTTTCCTGCAGCCTTTGCTGCATCTTCAAGTTCACAGAGTTTCTGTTGAATACTAAAATAATGAAAAACAATTTCTCAGTTATCTAAGAAAGTTAGAGCAAATGACGAAGTTTGTTTGTTTGTTCCTAGGCACAAAGAAACAATGGGCTATCAGTGCTATGTGTTGTAAGCTTTCAAGCTAATGGGAAGGATGAAAAGTAATAAAATTACAATGTGATATTCTTTATCTGTGTGACAGTAAAACTTAAAAGTCTGTAACAAAATATTTCAAACCAAGTATCATAATTAACATGTTCAATTCATATTTTGGATATTTTTTAAGTTTCAAAGGATAATCAATCAATCTTAGGTAACTTACTCAGAAGGTTTTACGCCTGTTCTCCGCACTTCAGCAAGACCCTCAGCAACTACAGATTCAACTATGTTCTCACCAGAAGTATCTGGAAATGGAAGCAACCAGCATATTTTGAGAAGAGTAATTGAAACATTATTCAATTTTAAGAAATTGCATTACTAAAATAAATGACAGACGCAAATATAAACTAGTTTGCTAAACTAACATGATGTATATAGCTAATACGCCATAAGAACTCAAAACAAAAGTACATCCATGAACAAAGAAATCGCATACAATAACTTCAAACTACATGACAAATTGCTTGCATATTATACATCGAGATGCTCTAGATCTGTATTGAAAGTTTATATACAGTTCAGTCATACTTAACCCTGCAATTACTAATGAAGATCCTGTCAAATTCTTAAACATTTTTCTGAACTATAAGTAACTGCAATAAGTTCACAGAGTCCACGATTTTGTTGATAACAAGCCCCCCCCCCCCAAGTTAACAAGAGTACAATCAACATTCCAATTAATCCCACTAATTATTAATGGGGCTCTATACATTTTACATAGAAAATGATTTCCAAAAATGAGTTATTGATCAGCTCTTTACACAGAGTTGTAAGAGGCAGAGACATAATTCACATGATGCAACATGTGGAACCACCAGTAGCGAACACTATAAGAAGTTAGTAATTTGAGGATTAAAAAATTTCTATAATTACAAACAAATAAATCATGATAGAAAAAGAAAATAGTTCATAATTGAAAGGGGAAAAAGTTTAACTTGTCTGTTACCTACAGGTTAATACAAGATTTTGCAGAAGAGAAATCAAATACAATATTTTCTAAGTTACCTTTTCCAACAAAAACCAAGCCATATTCTCTTGTAGAGTTGGGAACTTTGTACTCAATAGTAAAGCAAACTTCCTTTCCAATGAGTTTTTTTCTCAGAAATTCTCTTGCTTCCCATGCATAAGGCTACAAAGAGAAAAGAACTATCTTATGGCATTCCTTAAAAAACCTTATGTAATAATATATCAAGTTATACAGAGGGGTCCATAATTATATTTCTTCTTTAAAATCTAATAATTAATTAACTAAGGAAATCCAACCATGAAGTTTCCAATGTCTTGTAACCCAACTCAAACAGTTTTTATTGACATGTCAGTAGACTTCTATGTGTGCACCATTAGTGGCTCTTAGCACATCTGACCAATATTTGATTTCAGTTCACATTCACTGCAACATGTCCACAGTTACAGTGGTGATAGCTTCCATTATCCTGGTCTTTAGCTCTGTGATGTTTGTTATTGTATGGTTGTATTTCCTTAGTTATTTAATAGTTAAATTTTAAAATAGGAAAGATAATATTGGACCACTCTGAATTTCTTTGCACCATTGTTCAGGGACAGTACTGCTTTCTGATGGAATTTTTAAATAATTAGTTTTGTAACTATATGTCAAAATTTCTGCTTACAGGTAATGTAGATTTTATAAATTCATGAATACTTATAAAACATTATGCTCTAAGTATTAACAGATAAAAACAACATAAATTTTGCCTAATTCTTTGTAATTTATTAATTGTTTTTAATTTTCTACTGAAATATTTTAAATCTAAAAATGTTTAGGTTCGCATATTCACTATTTCTTGTGTAAATAGTGAGGTTTTTTGTTTTTTATGCACTGCTTTGTGACCACTAAGTTGAAGTATTAGGTCCAAAGATAATGAATGGGCAATAAACAGAAGTTAGTTCAGGTTTGATGGTAAAGATATGATTACTAGTGTAGAAGTTTGTTAACATCTAAAAGTAAAGCATATAGTATTGCATTACAGTCTAAAACAAAATATTGTAATTAATGCAAAAGTTGGCTAAGTTGTAAAGATATGTATGTAATGGTGCTAGCTAAGAGTAAAACTAAAGTGATAGTATTCAAATGCTAAGTACAAAACTAAAGATACAGTAATAAATGAAGATGTTTCATTTTCTACAAAATTTCTAAGAAAAAATAAATTCCTAGGTTTTCTAGACCTACAGCATTACCTCATCCTTAGTCTCTTGAGACGATTCCACATTAGGATTACCCCGACGAGCTAGCTTGGGTGCATTGATATAGGACAAATTTAGCTGTTTCTCTGGTGGTGGTCCTCCTCTTGGCTGACCTCGAATTATAATAGCATCTCCAGATAGTACCTGGACAATGTAAAAATTACACTTTAAATAAGCATCTTTGATGATAATAGCAATTTCATCAAGTACTTGATCAGAACAATAAGATATGTGTAAGAATAATGAACTGTCATTTGCAAACTGAACAACAAAATCTAACTAACTGAACAAAATAAGACTAACACAATCACCTAAAGGTATCATAAAACAAGTTGAAAATTACATTTTCATAACTAGTTTTAAAACATTAGCTTTTACTAAATTGTAATATGTATGAAGTCTGGTTTAAAAAATGAAGAAACTTCACATATACAGACTAGCACAGCAAGATTACAATCAAAGCAATTTAACACTGTATTGGAGTATGCTGAGGCTTTACAGTTTGTTAAAACTTTGGCTTACAGTTCAAACATCATATGACAACTGAATGAGCAAAGTCCTAATGCATCAAAATGAGCAACAGAACCTCTGGATTGCCAAGTTTCTCTACACTAATTCATAGGAAAACAAAGGAACACAGGGATAATGTGTTTATTGGCTTACATTTACAGAAAAGGATCAAACCACAGCAGAACAAACTGTCTGAATCTTCAGTGCAGCTCAATGGTTACTGATAGATTCAATAAACTACGACTTACTCCATCAGGGAAAGAATGAGAAAAAGAGAGAAAAACAAACAAACTGAGTATTAATGAACTTACCAAGTGGAAAAACCCTAAATATCAACCACTAAAGTTTCAAGGAAACAAACATCCCACAGGTGCACAAAAACCTTATTTCATATGCCCAAAATTTCATTAAAAGCAACTTCATGCACAAATGCAAGTGGGGTAAGGACAGGTGGACTTTTTCAAAATACAACAGAAATCTCGAAGTATCCAAACTCAAAAGCATGAAGATAAAAAAAACAACAAAAACACAGTTCATCCAGAAGGCTGGATCATAGTCCATTAACTAAAGTCAAAACATACATACAGAAGTTCACATGGAACTATAGCAACAAGAACAGATTCTGAAAATAAAAATAAAATGCAATTTCATAAGAAAACCCAAAAACGCAACATGTGCTCCAACAACATATCGTGACTAGAAATATTTAGTCTAGTGTCCCTAATTAACATCTAGGGTGTAGAATTTTTTGAAAAAATTCTTATCCAAGGAACAAAATACTAGTAATTTCTACTTGCCCCCTATCTGTCTCACAAAATACACACAAAAAGTAAATAATAACTTTTAGTCTTTTGCATTAACTTAATAGTTGACATAATCAATGCAATGCTATTAGTAGTTCAATTTTTGTCAGGATTAACATACATTGCACTTTGCATCCAAATTCTTCACACATAAATTCATTCATGTATTTTATAGTTTTTAATTTTTATAAACATTACAATTTACAGTGCAGCAAGCAGAATACTTTACACACAAAACAACATAGAAATCATGCCATTTTGAATGCAAAGCTTTTTGGAATATTTCATTTAAATCTGTTTATGGATCTGGTTAATATTCTTATTTGTAGTAATTTGTGTTAACAATATACCAAATAATGATTCAATAAGATTGGTAGTGTAAGTATTACACATGATATATTATGTTAAGCAAGAGTAATACACATTTAGATACAATTCAGCTCATTAGTAAGTTATAAAATGGGCTAAATAAATTGTATTATTACATAAATATCATCTAAAGATTAGTTGATTATTTATTCTTAGACTACGATGGTTAAGAGTAGTTTAGGTTTTATATGTTCAGAGTTTGTAAGGTGTGGATTAGATTTAGAAACTCAGACCTTTCACACAACTTTTAAAGAAGCTAGTAGTGAAATTTGTAGGGTAGAGGAGAAACTGGAGGCTATCCTAAATAGAGTACAGATTGTCAGGTTTATATATGTATGAGCTGGATTCCTTACAGTAGGTGTCTGTGACTTGTTAGTGATAAATTTCAACAATAAACAAACAGTACATAGTTCACTTGGTTTAAAGTAATATATTAAAACAAGTCAAACACATATAAAAATGTTCATTATAAGGTTAATCACTACAGTTGTATCCAGAGCTTTAAATAATTGTCTCTTTTCATCAAAGTCCACATAGACTGGTTCAGTTACTTTGGAACACAATTGACAAAAAATATTATTCTCTGCTCTGTTATTACAATACAATCTGATAAATTCACTTTAGAAATTGCCACTACACACACTTTATGGCTAAACTAACAATCACGCAGTCTAGCACTACCCATCTATCTAACTATATGTCTTACTAACTAACTACATTTTGTGCTTGTATTTATAACTTCACCAAGGCCTAGAACTTTCAACACACTACGAGATATTATGATGCAATAATACTCAATCAAAACAACAAGAAAAAATTAGAAGGTTCTAGTATCATGACATAATAATAATACAAGTGCCAATTCACAACTGAATTACAGATTCATGCACAGTTATGTAAAAAAAAAACCTGTGATAAACTATCGATCCTAAAAATAAGTACATTTAACACTCACACTATACTTAAACCATCTAAATCATAACACTCCCATTAAACTTAAACAGTCGTGTATATCTAACAGAAATGATAAAGAGAAGGGTAAACTGTAAGAAATGGCAGCAGGATTTCAAGAACTTGAGCTTTTACAACCAAGGGGTACAGTAACTTCCTATTTGTAATGAGCAAGTAAGTAACAGTTATCAACTTTTAGCTTGTGTAGATTAGGAACAATGGTAGAAAAGGAAAACAAAGGGACATACAAGGATAGGAATGAAAAACATAATAAGGTTAGAGTTATAGGTGACAGTCAAACAGTACTAATTTCAAGTGAAGTACCTTAGGGCTCAGTGTTAGGATCTTTACTCATTTTGATTAATATCAGTGACATACATGAAGGAATGGTCAATAAATTTCTAAATCTGTTACTAATATTAAGGTTCAGTGTTGCTAGATGTAAGGAGAATGTTGCTTGTTTATATATAAAAAAATATCGGGATTACTTGGTGAGTTGGGCAAATAAATAGCAGATGGTTTTTAGTTACAATAAATGCAAGGTAATGCATCCGAGATACCATAATTTGAATTATAATTTTCATGGGAATAACCTTAACAGTATTATGGTAGATTAGTCTCTTAACCATCCAAGCAGTATGCTGTTGCTAATAGTAGATCAAATATGATTTTACATTGTATCTACAGAAATACTGAATACAAGTCTTACCTGGGATGGAAAGATTGTCATATGAAGACATGTTAAGATATCAGAAGTTGTTTTTTCTTGAAAAAAAGAATAGCTAGAAGGAATATGATTGAGGTGTTTAAGATTGTTAAGTGAATTGATAGTGTTGAGGGTTCATTTTTCTTTTTTGTATTTAAGTGGTGGAAATGGTAGGTCTAGGAGACAAATATAAGGTTACGAATCATTTCAGCTCTATTCAATACTCTATCTCAGTAGATTTGATCATAAGTTACCAGAAGAATACATTTCCTTATATTAATATAGGGATACCATTATTTAAATCAAATCAACAATGATAGAATAAAGAGTCAGTGATCTGAAACTAATCAATTCTGCTAGGTACTATCCTCATAAATCAATAAATTACAACAGAGCAAAATGTCTGTAAAAGTTAGGAACTAAAATATACTACCAGAATTAAGCACCCAAATTAGGAATGTTGTAAATGCTAAATATTTTTGAAATAACATTTTTACTACTTTAAAAAATCACCCAAAACCCAGGTAAAAAAGCATGAGCTGAAAAATTTTGACTGTAACATCAGCCGAACAAACTAGATGCAAATGATGGAGTAATATATATATATATAATCTCAAACCATATATTTATATATTTAAAAAAGCAATCTTCAGGAACCTTTTTTTCAAACTAGGATTTTTAGAGTCCATCTATCAACCCTTTTTACTTTTAAGACCTGGTAGTTTAGAAGGCTATAACAAGTCTAACCAGGAGTTTGCACTGCGAGTTCGAATACTACTTACTAAATTTTTGTATTTTAGAAACTTGTTAAATTATATTACAACTTTCATTTGAATGTATTTCAGACAGTAAAATCACAGTTTTCAAAACCAGCTGTAATTTAAAGTTATTTTTCTAGAAAGCAAAAGCATGGTCCTTATTATCAGAACAATACATGTTTTTGAAACCTTGTCAATGAAGAAAGTATAAAAAGATGATCAATTTTACTGTACAGGATTGTGGATTATATTTCTTTATATTCACTTGAATTAAAAGCAATTTCAATGAGTAATGCTACAAACTGCATGAACCACCAATCTCCATGTTGTTACTGAAAAACGTATATTCACAAAATCTAGAGCAACAGTTGTCCTTGAGGTTCCTTTTCAGTAACATGATTCTCAGTAGACCTTGACCTTGAATGGTTACTTAAGACCATCTCTAAGTTTTAATTGATTCATTTCAGAAAAATATATGAAATTAATTTCTACTCTACCAATCTCATATTAGAAAAATTAAAGCATTAGTTTTAACTTATCCTTAAACAATACATATCCTCACTTTTAATCCTGTCATAGTCTTAATAAAATAAAACTTTAAAGTTTGAGCTCCCATTACCTTCAAAATAGTCCAAACATAAGATAAATTGAAGTATGATTTTTGCAATAAAAATACATTACAAAATGTTTTGAGATTACCCTTTAAAAGATTAACATCACCATTAACTTATCAAAGTAAGATACTTATGCAGACCTAAATTACCTCAATTAATATAGCTAAATTAAAATATTCTCCTATCTTTGCATATGGAAAGTCAAAATAAAATCATAATGTTTAGAATGATTTATCAGTTATGTAGGATCATCGTTAGTGGTTTTTCTGACCACAAGGGAAAGGTTTGTTTCTTTGCGATATTTGCATGCAGCTACACGAGGGCTATCTATACTAGCCATCCCTAATTTTGAAGCAATAGATTAAATATAAGACAGTCAGCAGCACCTATTTATTTTCTACTCTAGATGAGTAATGGGATTTGACCATCACTCTTACAATGCACCCATAGCCTCAAAGTGTGGAATGCAATTTTGTAACAATGGGACTTAAGCCATGAATCCTCAGGTTCACATTCTTACACACTCATTAAGCCACATTTGGTCAAGATCAGATGTATTACTTCTTCTCCTTTATTTGTAAAAACACTAGTAAGAGATTTATTAAAACCTTAGTCATGATCAATTCCTCCAAATCTGAGATATTTTATAAATCTTAAAGGTTTATTTTTTACATACTTCTGACCTGAAATCTCTATTAGCCTAATTACGAGGAATGTGATAAACATTTACAGACAACTGTGATATCTAACATTTTGGGTTTTAAAAAGCTTCAAAGCTTTATCAGCATAGGCATTTTACACTATTACGAAAATTTACTGCTCTTTTTAGGCCTACCAATAACTTTCTTTACTTTTATTTTGATAAACCTGAACATCTTCCACTTTACCTGAAAGTTTTATTGCCTTTACAAACTTAGTGATTACCTTTAGAACTGAACAATTAGAGGAATTTGCTAATCAATTAATCATTGGGGTGCTACTATAGCATGTGGTCTACACAGATACCATCATCTTCACCATTCTAACTTTAGTTTATTTGCAATTGGCACCAGTTATTATAAATAACACTTTTAAACTAATAAATTACAAAATACCATTATATAACATTTTGGGAGCAAATATAATCGGAATAAAATAAATCCCAACAATCAAAACTAGCACAAATATAACCTAAATTTAAGGTACTCTTTTGGAACACACAACTTATTAAATTATTATTATTTGCTGAACAAAAACTTAGACAGATATAAATTACTTAGCAAAAAATTATGTTTTAATGAATTATTAAAATGGTGATGATGATAATATCTGTGTAAACTGCACACTACAGTGTAAATATCTTTGTAGACTGCACTATAATAGCACCATCATTGGCCTCGTTAATAGATTACATTCAACCACTAAACTATTTTTACAAGATCGCTAAAGAAACAAATCTATAGTTCTCACAAGATAGTTAAAAAACTTGTAATGCTGAAAATCTGGTTTCAGTACCTACAGCATCCAGTACACAACTAACTGTGTAACTTTGTGCTTATCAACAAACATAATGAACAATACCTACATTGCTTGGATAGTTGAAATAAATGAAAATTTGGATAATCAAAAACTCTAACTTTGATAAATTAATTTTTGTGAGCTAACTAACTGATCAAACTGAACAAATTTAAATTAATCAAATCAATAATGGAAAATGATGATTTCAATATTTCAGTTACTGGATAGTTGAAATCAATGAAAACAATAATAATCTGAAACACTAATTTCAATTACTGAAGTATTTTTGTAAAAACAGATTTAATTGTAATTTGAATTAATCTTATATGACACAGATGTAATCAATGTTCAAAAATAACCGATTATATCATCAATTAATCAACTTAATTGCCAATTCTTTATGATCATTTTTCAAAAAATTACCATATTCATCCATGTTTGCATTAAATTGTTAGAGGAAAAACACTTGTGTATAAGTTCAGTTTGTAACTTAAGAACATTACACTCAATAAAGAACTGTAAGCTACCAGCTTTTAATCCATATGACAAGATGTCTTCCTAAACACCGTTTAAGGTAGCTGTATTTTTTTTGTACAGGGGTGTGTGCAAGAAGCAGCAAGCAGAGGTATGGCTCCCAATAACTTTATACATAATAAATGGCTGTTATTTTGATAATTGTGATGCTGTTAATTTCTGTATATTTTTGTGTATGTTTCAATATTATTTATATATTCATGCGTGTTGTGTGCAGTTGTGCTCCTCCAGTAGCAGTAAAATTTAAATTCTTGTGCACAGTCCCATTTGTGTAAAATTGTTGTGGTTTTGACAATTTCCTATCTTCAGCACATTTGAGTGGTGGAATGAAAAGGTTGGAATAAGAAGATAGCTTTGGAAGTCTAGATGCAGAATTATTTTTTGACAAAATGATTTGTTAATTAGTTATCCATTTATGGAATGGTTTATTTGATGATGAGGTTTGTGCAGTGAGTTTTAATTTGAATTTTAAAACTTTTATTCCATAATTATTTGGAGGTGAAGTGATATATACTAACTTATGTTTTTGTGTGAGAGAGAGAAAGAGGAGGGGTGCCCTAAAAGGTTCATTGTCTATTCATTTCTGCACACTTTGAACCAAATACTTTACAAATTCAAAGAAAGAAAGAGAGGGTGCAATAGCTTTCACATTTATAAACAGTTGTCTTTATGTTGACTCTGGCATGTATTTGACAGAATTACAATACCAAATTCATTACCATTTGCAAAAAGAAACTGATAGCAGAAATGTGAATTATTCATGCTAGTCCAATTACACTATCAAAAAATATGACATCACAAATAAGATGTTTATTTCAAATTAAATTATCACTGACTAGTTCGTAGTGATGGCACATTCAACTTCCTACACAAAAATTATATAAACCTTGTTATTTCTGGCTTGATTTTGCCCTTCTTAAAAGTTAAGTCTTGCCAATATTTAATCAAAATTAACAGAATTTCGCCTTTAAAACTTATATTTCATTTAAAACCTACTTTACGTTCTAATATATTATTACAAGTACTATTGAACAAATCTGAAAACACTGTTCAAGTGTATGGCATATCCTCTATGTAAGCAAACTACATATTATTTATAAAGATAATTTATTGCATCAATATATGCCTCGTTACAACTAATGACAGTGTAAAACTAAAATTAAAAAGGAGATCCAGAATTAACAACTTCCAGTTCCACGAGATAAAAATAAAATACAAATGGATAAAATTGTTAGGTATAAAAATATTTATGATTTCTGTGGACGTACTGAGTACAAGTTAAAATTTTTACCTATAATGTATTTTTAATTTTTGAAAGAGTAATTATCTCGAAGGTGTTAAACGCAAATTAGACTATTTCCTATTCATGCTATAGTATTATTATTAGGCTTAATTCTAATTCAACGTTTTGTGATCGAACCTACGTCATATAGCATATGTTAGGATTTATTTCTAGGCTTTGATCATGTCACGTGTACACTTTGTAATGGCTCGTGACACGCGTACTGTAATACAATTAATTACTAATACTAATAATACAATGATTGCATTTTCAAATAACCCATATACATAATAGAACAAATTCAATACTTGTTTCACAATTCCACGCTGAGCTGCTGGAGGTTGCGTCTGTTGTGGTTGAGACATATTTAAAACATGTAACAAACTATTAATCGAACAATGTTTCAATAAACGAAAAACTCGTGGCACGTCTATGAACTGTAGTTCTGAAATAATACAGATCCACGTGAACCGGCTCCTTAGTTATAACTTGAATGTATACCTGAAAAATAATAAAAAAAAACAGCGAGCTTAAAACAATGTAGGAAAACATTAATTTTCAAAATGACATATCCGGTAATTACACTTGAAAAGAAATACTACCAATAATAATACCAAAAAGACATAAATAAAATATATACACTCACTAACAGATCCTTACGCCAGAGTGGGTAAAGAAGCTGATGTGGCCAAAACTCTTGCACTCAGCGTGCATCAAAGACACAACACTATAGCAAAGAAAAATAAAAGAGTAGCGGGAAATGGAGTAGTAATACTAAAAATATTATGAGTATATTCAATATGAGTATAATATAAAATTTTATGTATAATATTTTATATGTATCATTATATAAATAATTTATGAGTTTTATTCTCTTTCGATAAATTGTTTTTAACTGATAATAGTCTATCATATTCAGAAATAGGTGTTTTTGCTTTTTTTAGAATGACAAAAATTGTTTGGAAAGATAAATTATGTTGTAACTTGTTCATAAACTTGCCACTTTACTATTATCAGGATAGCTTCGTAGACCAGCAGTAAGTTTCGGGACTTTACAACGCTAAGATCCAGGGTTTAATTCCCCGCGTGGGACAAACATGGATATCCTATAGTGTATCTCTGCGATTAAACAAACAAACAAGAATATACTATCATCAGGATTTTTCCAAAACTTTGCTAATATTGATCTGTTGTTTATGTTTTTCTAATCAAAATGCTTCCCCCCTCAGTGGCTCAGCGGCTGGTCTGTGAGCTTATATCGCTAAAACATCTGGTTTTGATACCTGCGGTGGATTGAAAACAGATAGTTCGTTATGTTGCTTTGTGTTTAACAAAAAACAAACAAAATCAAAGGGTTAAAAAGCTAACTACTGAAGTGTGTCCATGGCTTTGTAATAATTTTCTAATTTGTCGTACTCTTCATGAGCTCAAATTTATGACGAAAATTGGGGTATTTTCTTTTAAAAATTATTAATATTATCACGGTCTGGTATATAAGCATACCATGTGTTTCAAACTCTCTTATTTTGAAACAGTATTTTTCAGAAATTGTCAGTTCTTTATATTTATGTACATTTTTAAAATAGCACATTTTCAAGAAAGTAATTAAATTACTTTCAATTTAGCTATCTTTGTTCTTTGTCATTGTCTTGAATTAACACATAATCTGCCTGTGAGTGTTATGACTGTAAGGTATTTGTGACCAGTCTCGTTATTTCATTCTCATGAACTCAGTTAATCATGGAACTCAGAATTCCTTTGCAATTTTTTTTTTACGATTCTTCTGTTTTCTGTGGACCTTTCTTGTCTCTATAAGGGAAATCTGTTCAACCTGAAAATACAATAGAGTGGATATGAAATAGAAAATTTAGATGCAATGACCATAGGATGTTATTGTAGATTTTTCTGTTTTCTGCATTAACACGTATATTGCCATTTAATCCTACTCTTGTGTTATCAAAATTAGAACGGCTTCATTGTAACAGAAGCAATATTTCCACAATTCGGATGACTTATAACCAATAGGAAGGGTCAGTCACTGAGGAGAAGTGGTTGTTCGAGAGCTTTTGGGCCTACAAGAAGTCTTGTCCTGGACATCATCTTTCCCTAATGCAGCTAAGGTTCTTATCTTACATTTTATTGCAAACAAAGACTCAGGAAGAAGAAGAGCTGCTGATGCCTGGTTCACCAAAAGGTTAGAACAGCAGTTATTTCCTTCCTATGAAAATCGACTTGAGTGCGAAGAAACCATCGATGACTGGGGGTTATGAATGTCGTGTAGCATTTAATGAGGCTGAGACGACTGATTGAGGCAGGCTGAATAGGACTCCCTGACCTTTGTCAGTCAGAATAATCCAACCCCAGCTATGTTCAAAGCCATCCAAGAATGATCAAGAAAGACTAGGGGTGACATTACTAGAAGACAGTTGGGATCAAATTTTGAAGATTGTAAACCACAGGGTAGTGTTGAGCCTCTCCAAACAAGAAGTATACTGGAGGAATGATTATGGATCATGTAGGAAATTGGCAGTGAAGAGCCAATGGAACTCATTGCTCTGCCACCCTAGAGCATAGATCAATTATTCACATGAATGACAGAGTCCCTGAGCATGCTTAACACACTATACTCATGACACGGAAGACATCTCAGTCAAGTAATGGCCATAAGTTCCTGAGGTTTTGGCCATGTTTATAGATCCCCATGAATGAAGCAAGATAGATCTCACATCCAATATTCAAGGGTACAGCATAGGAACATTTGGACCTTTTCTGAAAGCAATTAACTTAAGGCAGCTAACTGCTTGAAAACGCTGTTCTCCAGAGTAAATTGTACAATGCCTGATTTGAAGTTTAGACACTTAGACTCCTAGAACCCATCGAACACTTCAGTAAAGCAGAACTTTGAGACTGTGAGAAAGTCATTGCCAAGTTGTGCTGAAGGTTTGGTTCATTAAAAATCAAGCAATTCATTGGACTAAGTTTGTAACAAACTTTGTTCTTGTGAATGGAGATAAACTAGACGTGGATGGAGAAGTGAATCTCTAACAATATCTAGGAGACGTTGCTCAGATAATGAGGGTAATCACAACAGACCTCAGTTCTAGCATCACCATCCTCGGGACAGACATACTGTGGAACTTATAGGCCAGTTTTGCCTGTGCAACTGATGATCTGATGTTCTGTGAGAGAGATATCTGATGCCCATGAACAGTGTACTGCGTGATGTACATGGGAGAGAAAGTTACAGTAACCTCATGTAAACACATCATATTCCACAGTTTACTAAAGTAAGAATTCTAGTATGACAGTACCATGTATTGCTGTTATAGAACCCAGACATGAAATCTGCTGTTGCCTGTATAGAAAGCAAGCATAATCAGCAGCTATCTGTCCAAGAAGAGAAGAAGTCCCAGGGTTGACTTGCAATTGTGGACAATTATTTGTCCAGCTTCCCACTGGAATTGTCATTGGCATGATGAGCAAAGTAGAAATGATAATGTTTCATCCATCATTCCAAATCCACAAGCAAGTACACAGTTACCAGAACATCTAAAGTTGCTAGTTGAGGATTGTGCAAACAATCTAGAATCAAAGCAGCAGGAGCAGCTTCGAGACTTTTTGTCTGAATCTGCCAATATATTTGTGGGACCAGGTGATTAATTGAGCCAAACAACAATAATTCCAAATAACACAGTTACAAGGAATTTATGTTCAATTAAACAACAGATGCATAGGCTCTTCTGGAACACTAGGGGTGTATCCAAAGCTGAGATATAGTGGGTGTTAAAAGGTGGAATCATACAGCCTTCGGAGAATGTTTAGTCATCTCTAGTAGTGACTGTCAGAAAGAAGGAAGGTACCTCCAAGTTTTGTATTGATTTTATATGGGTGAGCTTGGTAACATACATTGATGTCTTTCTTTTACCATAAACAGACTAATGTCTGGATGCATTGAAATGTCCCTGTTTGTTCAACATTTTGTATCTGGTATCCAGATACTGGCAACTCGAGTTGGATGACAATGGCTAGATGTAGTACTGCTTTCAGGAAGATAATTGGCTTGTATGAGTTTCGTGCCATGCCAATCAGCCCATATAATGCGTCTGTCCTTAGAAGAGGCTAATGGCACTTACACTAAAGTGGCTACAATGGGAGATGAGTCTGTTCTATATAACATATTGACGTTTGGATACACATTTGAACCTGAAGCTGAGAACCTGAAAATGGCATTTCAGTTGATTTAAAAAGGCAGGATCGAAAATTAAACCAGGAAAATGTGCAGTTGTAAGCATGGAAGTAGAATTTCTTTGTCATGTTTTAAATAGAGTTGGGACCTTCTTGGATAATGCTAAAACAGCAGTGGTATAAAATTAGTCTCAGCTTGTGACCAACCACGAGTTCATTGTCTTCTTGATTTCACGCCATACTATAGACAAGTTGTGGGTAACTTCTTCAAAATTCGAACATTGTTAGTGGCTCTAACTAACTAAAATTGAGATTCACTTCACATGCTTTAGTATAAGCCCCAGTGCTGGTGTATCCACGAGAAAACTGTGGATTATTTTTAGTTAATTTGTTTGTTTGATGGCACAGAGCTACATAATTGGTTATTTGTGCTGTACTCACCACGTGTGTTGAAACTGATTTTTAGTGTTGTAAGTCCACTGAGCCACTGAGTGGAACTTGAGCAGTATAATCATATATGCTAGTCACATTTTTGCTGCTTTAGAACACAGTTACTGTACGATGAAGGTAGAACTGTTTACAGTTATAATCTTTGTAAAACACTAACAATTCTATTAGTATGGCAGAAAGTTCACTATTTAAGTGGAGTAATCATTATTGAAATCGTTGTTGAACTTTCAAAATTCAGAAGGGATGATAGCACAGTGGATAAGAGCATTGCAAGAGTATGATTTATTCTTACAACATCAATATGAAAATGCTAATCCAGTATCATATGAATATTACTCAGTAACTCTGCTCAATAACTCAGAAAGCGAGGGTTGCAAAGCCTTTTCCATTCCTCCAGTGACACCCCTAAAAAAACTCATTTGGAAGACTCTGAACAGCAGTTACCACCACATTTTGTTCCTGTACCTCGTTTTTTCATTCTGCATTCTTTGTCTGACAAACCTTTAGGGAAAATATCTCCATTCTTCATCCAGAAGTGATTAGAGGGGCTTTCTGGCTTGTTGAAGTCAGTTAAGAAGCTATGTTTTGGGGACATCTTGGTGGAAACATCTACATTAAAACACAACGAACTCCTCCTGAAATCAAAAGCAATTGAGGATATACATATTGAGATTACTCCTCATGCTACTTTGAATTCCTCACTAGGAGTTATCTTTGAGAGTGATTCAAGACACATCTCTGATTCGAAGATCCTCACTGGTTTCTCCAGCCAAGGAGTTTCTGCTGCTATGTGACGTATTTCCACGTGTAAAGATGGAATTATGCTGCCTAACAATGTTTTTGTGTCAACTTTTACATTGCCACGTCTGCCTGTCACTGTCAAGGCAGGTTAGCTGAACTGTAAGATATAGCCTTATGTTCCTACTTCTCTCAGGGGTTTCCAGATTCAGCAGTTCGGACATTCAAAGGCATCTTGTCGCGGTTATTTGATGTGTGCTCGTTGTAGTGGCAAAGACCATGATACCTATGAGTCAAATGGACCCTCACTGTGTCAATTGTGGTAGTTCCCACT